GAGTTGTTTGGATTATAACCCAGGGACCTCTGGCGGAATTGGGACGAGAGGCAGGTGTTGTCCCCAGAGTCCTAGCCCAGCCAAGCCAGCAAGGTGTGCCACCTCTGAATCTGCAGGGGCGAGGACATAAGTGTGGTGGACGGCGCCTGTCGATGGCAGAGCTGGGAACTGAACCCAAATCTCCTCACATCTTTCTACTCCACCTGATGAGGGGTGGGCCTTGGGAACAGGGAAGAAGTGGGGCCTCAGACATGTCCAGGATATCCTTGTGCGAGGGAACGCAAGACCGCTTCCAGGGAGTTTCAGCCTCCCTGGGAAATCTGTTTACCTTTAGCTTGTCCCGTTGCAGCTCTCCCTGACAGACCTTCCTCCTGTCCCCAGTTTCCCTTTGAGATGTGCATATGAGGGTTCGTGTTTGGGGGAAAAGGGCATGGATATGCTCAAGGATGCCCCAGGGATATCTGTACCTCCAGCCTTTGACGTGGAGCCTAGCACATGGCAGATGCTCAGTAGATATTTGATGAACTCACACCTGGGTGATGGAGCCCCTCTGTCTTTGCCAGATAGTGACCCTCTCCCACTCCAGGAAAGTAAGGACTAAGGGTTTGGCTGGGAAACAGATGATCCAGCTCATCTTCTTGGTCCAGATCCTCTTGAGCACCAGATTCAAAACCTGGGAGGCTCTAGACCCAGGAGGGACTGCTTCTCAGCTCTTACAGGTGGCAGGTTTCCTCAATAGCAATCGATCATTCTCTAGCCTGAGCCGAACATTTCTGAGGTTTCCCTGACAATCCCAAGGAGAAGTATGTACTGACGTCCTGGTGTATCTTTGCCCAGGAAAACGACTGCGTCCTGGGTGAAGTAGAGTAAAAGGAGAGTATTTTGATTGGATTTCTTCATCCCTAGGCAGGATAAACCCTACTTCTTTTCCGTGGGCTGGGCATGTTGAGCCCTGGGCTGGGGAGGAGGGGGAGGGGGAGGGGAGCTGAGGACACGGCTCTGAGGGCCATGCTTGTAGTTTTCCTGTAAATGTGTCCCCACAGCCAGGAGGAGGGTGGTCTGAGGGTACCAAAGACCTGGCAGCATCACTTTTGTCTTCTAGGAGTTGGCTCTGCTGGTGAGAAGAGACTCGGTTAAGACCAGCCATCCCAAGTGACAGACACAATGGAGATAGAACATTTATGGAAATCCTCCACTGCAGAGTTTTTTTCCCCACTCCCCAACATGAAACTATTCATATTTTTAAAATCTGGAAATGTATACTTATTCATTCACTGAAAACTGAAACTGAATGTGTGCTAAATGTCGTAAGTCATGGGATCCTGGACTTCACCTTATCTTTTAGGTTCCACTGGGCTTTTGCACGGCAGCCTCACTTTGCATCTTCCTTTCCACCCAGGTCTGGGGCTCCAAATGTTTTCTCTTTAGCACCTGCTTTTTCTGTTTACATCCCACTGAACCAGTGATTGGCAAGTAGTGAACTCATTGACTGGGAAATCAAGTCTCTCCACTTGCTTACCCAATTAGCAGAAACCAATCTGTCTATTCGGGTATATTCTCTCTCTCTCTCTCTCTTACTTGTAAACACACACACACTGCAACTCGGAAGAGAGCGACTGTTCCTTTGCAGACAGATGGAATGATGCTCCGAGAGATAATTTCACTCTGTTAGAGCAATACCAGCAAGGGAAGGACACTCAAATCTTCCAGGTTCCTGATCTTTCTTATGGACACGATCCCTCCTGGAGGAAGTTAAGAGGCAAGAGGATCAAGCACTATGGACTCCCCCACCAAGACCCCCACCATAAATCAGTTTCCAATCTAACCCCTCCCTGGGGGTTGAGTTACAAACCTCAGCAACCCCCGGGGCAGCCTGCCTGGTAATTCCTATTATTCAGCTGTCAGCTGGTTTTTAAAAACCTCCCTTCCCAGTGATCCAGTTACCAGAGTTTTAGAGCCTATTCCTTGTCTCAGAGAGAAATCCTATAGCCAGGTGAAACAATGGAGAGGGTTGCTGCCTGCTTTCTATAGGGAGCTGGATTTTCTCTTCTGTTGAAAGCAGCCTCCCCTTAACTCTTTGTGTCCCTCCCAGATCGTTGGTGCCTTTCAGAGCAACTATGCCTTTCTCTGGGGACCCTCCTTCTATAGCCAGCATCAGTCAGCAGAGGAGAAAACAAATTGGGGCAAGGGGTGGGAAGAGAAAGAGAGAAAGGAAATTCTCCAAAATAGACTGCTGTGGCCGCAACTAGGGTTCTGCTGTTGGTCAGGGATTCAGTGCCCAGACCTCCAGTCAAGCAGGTCCTGACGCTGCTGAGCCCTGTGCTGGAAGGGGAGGAATGGTACAGAGGGAGGGATCTGCTTTGACAGTGATGAGAGGTGGGGAGTGAGGCTCCTGACCTCCCTGACCCCTTTATCCCTGACAGTCTTTTCTGGTCCCTGCAGCTCAGAAGGCTGGGCCCCTGCTGCCTGACCCTAGAGGCTGAGAGCGCAGGAGGCCAAGCCGCTGCGTGTCCTTCAGAACCAGCCTGAGAGAGGCTGGGAAGGCCTGGGAGAGAGGTCTTAGAAGAAATGTCACTAGAGGGTGTGACCCTCCTCCCACCTTGCAAACTATCCAGACCCACTAAGATGATCTCTTCTGCTCCCAGCCCCATTCCCCTACATTGGTGATTTTTAAACTTTTATAGGATCACAGGCCCCTTTGGGAGACTGTTGTAAGTAAGCTATGGAGCCACCCCTCAAAATATTTGTGTGAACCCACATACACAATTTAGCCAATTTCAGGGGTTCAGAGACCCTAAAGCTGAGGAGACCCTGGTGAGTCTGGCAAGTACATGGAGCCCAGGTAACAATTCTGCTCTACCATCTTCCTTACCTTGTGGACCCAATTCTGCCATGATGAAGCAGACAGAGCAGTTGGAGCTTGGAATGGGGATGGAGGCTGAGAGGGGGGGAGGTGGGAGATGGAGACGTGGGGGTTGGGGGGCGGTAAGGAAAATGAGCATGACCTCTGCCCCCTAGGGCCTGTGCTGCCTGAGAAGAGAGATTCAGAGTTGCTCTGTCCTTCGGTTCATTCTTGATCCTAAGTAATACCCATAGTCCTCACTGGTCAGCTTGAGACATGGGTCCAGGAGGAAAGCCATTCAGAAGAGAAGGATGGAAGGAAGGAGGGGAAAGAGGTCTGTGCCTGGTGAATGTGGTGAGGGCTCCCCAGTGCCCTGCATGGAAGCTAGGCTTGGTTTCCTCATTTCCCCACATGTGGCATGAATGTGAGGTCACCCTGACCAGGTGACACTCCCTCTTGGCCAAGCCTCCTGGTAAAATAATATATCTCCTTTTGGCTCCAGCACCTCTTTCTGGACATCCGTCAGCTCCTGGGGACTGGGCTGCTGGCCAGCCTCGACTCTCCCCTCTTTCCCTTTTCCCTCTTCTCTGGACTTTGGAGATGGTGTTTTCCTGCCTTAGCAACCCCAGCCGTCAGTCAAGATGCCTGGTTGGCTCTCTTTCAGATGCGCTTTGAGGGAGCTAAGGAAAGAATGGGTAGGGGAAAAGGTGCAAGGAGACTTCAGGCTCCTCTGGGCTGAGTCCCAGCTCCACTTAACTTAAATCTGTCTGAGTTTACAACCAGAGACAGCAGCTTGGTGGTCAGAGGACTGTCCATCCCTACTATCACCGGGGTCAGGCCCATCATTGACCACCTAGTCTGTTGCAGGGACTGGCTCGCTCTCACTGATTTCTGGCTTCTTTTATCTTTCCTAAAATGCAGGCTTGGTCAATTCACTTATCTTCTGTAAAAATCTTTGCTGGCTCCCTTTTGCCTCCAGTAGGGATTCTCCAGCCTTGCCCTGCAGGGACACCTATGTACTCTGACCTGAATCTACCTGTCCATGACCACCCTTCCCAAATCCTGGGGTGCACCCAAAGACCCCTCCTCCAGCCTGCCCTGCTCCCAGGACAGATTGTCCAGTTCAGCACTTTATTCTGCTGCCCTAGGCCTGGGCTGCTTTATTTGGTCTTCCTTATTGAAAAATTTCCACATCCTTCAAGGCCCAACTCAAAAGCCATCTCCCTGAAGCTTTCCGTTCTGAATTTTTCTGCACCTTCCAGCAGTCATTGTCCCTAAAAATTAAGACATTTCATGCGGCATTCGGTTATTTTCAAATCTTCCTCCCTGAGTAAACTATAGGCTCCCTGAGGACAGGCACCAGGTTTTTGGCTCCTCACCCAGTATCTGGCACAATGTAGGTATTCAATAAATGTTTGTGAAATGGCCTGGGGACTCCCTTACTGATAGTACGAGATCTGCAGTACACATCTCTGGATGATGCCATAAACAGGATGGGTGTCAACTGCTCACGCAGCCCCTGCATTTTTTATCTTTCCTCTCCTCAGCCAGGTACTTATTTTCTAAGTATCCACGCCCACTCAAGGAGAGGACATGAGAGTCCCTTTGGAGGTGTTTGATCTGAATGTCACTCGGTAACAGCGCCAGACACACGTGTTCTCATGCTTCCTAGAGATTTGCGCCGGGAGTTCATTTCTGACCCGCTAGGCAGGCGGGAGGGTGCTTTGCCACCAGGCCGGGATCCACAAGGACCCACACCTTGCACTCGGTGGACGCCGCCCGCCCCATCTAAAAGCTTCCTGCCTCCTCCTACCCTCCCTTTCTGGACGCTCCATAATTATCAGGCCATTCCGGAGAAAGAGAAGACAAAAGTCACTTTGGCGCCCCCTCTCTCCCTTCTAATAGGGAGGACTCGGGGACTCTCCGGTCCTTCCCGAGCTGGCGTTAGGAACGGAACCTGCGCGGACTATGGCTCTCCAATTGCGTTTCTGACGGGAGCCGGAATTTCGCTCGGCCCCTTGCGATGTTTCCAAGGGAAGGTTCGTACATTCGTGACCGTCCCTGGCAGCCGCCCAGCCCGGGACTTGGGGCTCCGCTCGCCATTGGCCAGCCGTGGGCGTGACGCGCCGGAGGCGGGGCCTCATCAGCTGTTTGCGGGATGCCCCGAGCGGGCGTATTTTGGAAACAATACCGCGCGGTGCACAGTGGCCTCCTCCCGCGCCAGCCAGCCAGCTGCCGCCGCCGCCCCTGCCCGCGCCTCCCGCCACCCGCCGCAGCCCGGTGAGCGCGCGGGCGGCCGGGGCCGGCCGGAGTTGGATCGCACCTCCTCGGGGAAGTGAGGAGAGGAGTCGTGCTGCGCATGGGGGCCCGGGAAGGGTTGGGCTGCGGGCGTCTAGGGTGACCATGAAGGACTGGAGCGCTTGGGTGCGGGAACGGGGTGCAGAACCCTCATCTAGGTGCGCTGCTCCACGAGGGAACTTGGGGGTAGTAGCATTTCAGACAGCAAGGAGTTGGGTCCAGGTGGACAGGGAACCTGCGGTTCACTGCTGAGCAGACCTGGGCTCCCGAGAACGGCCCGGCCTCTGGATCTGACTTTGGGGTAGGACAGGGAGTTGTGGGGCGTCCAGCCTCCCTGCGGAGTCTGAAGGCTCCTCTCCTTAACAGCTGGGCTCTTTCCCTCCTTCCCAATTGAGTCTGGGCGCCAAGCCCCCGAGTGCTCGTCACGCTGGACCCTGGCGCAGAGCCCTGGCATCACGACTCGGAGGCCGAGACTCTCTCCTGGAGTCACCCAGGTCTGCTGTGTGTCGTGTGGGTGCGTGAGTGTGTATGCATGTATGTGTGCGTTCCGAGATTTTAACTCCTATCGAGGTTCAGAGTGCCTGGCTAAGCACTTCTCCTAGGAGGAGGAGTCTTAAGTTCAGCATCCCAGTTACAGCCCTTGGGGGCTGGGACGGCTCCAGCGGGCTTTGATTCCCCTTGCTAGGAATAAAGCCTTCCTGGGCTGTGCTCTCAAGAAGTGTGATCCTCCTACCAGTTTGGACATCACCCCCTCAGCTCAGGCGAAGGGGAGAAGAGGGTCTCCTTACCGCATCCCGGTTTACACTTGACTTTGCCCAGCACCCCTCTGGAGGCTCCCGCGTACAGAAGAGCCACCTGCAGTTCCTGTGGAGAATGGGTAGGGTCCCCAGGGCTTGCAGAGACACACCCTATGGCTGCATTTCCCCACAGTCCAGTCCAGGCAAGGGTTGAACTTTGGGGCTTTGCTGGGAGGGGGAGGGGGAGGTGACGGGCTTCAAAGGAAAAACCAAGACAATGACTGCTGCTTGTGATTGGCTTTGGAGGGCCCCTTCTTAGGCTGGGATTGCCAGCTTGGGGAGAGAAGCCTGAAGGGCTGGAGGTGAGCCCCTGCCAGGTGACTGGCAAGACAGCACTTGGTCCTTTCAGCCAGAAACTTTGTTTCCTGGTGCTGATAAGCTGAAGATCTCCTACCCTCCTTTGGGAAACACTTTCCAAAGAACAGCCTGTGCCTGTTTGGCCATCCAAGCGGGGGTCTCCTCACTCACCAGGGAAGAGGGCAGAGATGGGGTCATAGATAGCTCACGGATAGTTGGGATGGAGGGAGGGTTGAAGCAAGCACCTCAGAGAGAGCTTGCATTTAGGGAAGCCAAGATTCTGAATTTAAGTGAGATGCCTTTAAGTACTTTACCAACCCACAGACCATTTGGCTTGTTCTTCAAAGGCAAGAGACTGGGAGACAGAATTCCCAGGGGATATCTAATTGAATCTGGCAGTGACAAACAGTATCTCTCTGTATCCTTAACCATTCAGGTAGTTGCTGCTTCTGGCTGCCCCAGGGACTCTTAACAGGTTCCCCTGGGTGTGTGTGTGTGTGTGTGTGTGTGTAGGGGGCTGTGTTGGGAGCTCAAGATGCTGGGTGGCTCCAAGCTTAGATTTCCAAGAGCCATCAGGTGGAGCAAGAGGAACTTCTTTATGACCAAGAAACTCGTATCGACAACCTGAGTAGTACAGAGGCGGTGAGTGAGGTCACAGAAAGAGGGCTGAATTTCACTTCCTTCTGTGAGGAAGGTTACACCAGTCTCAGGTTCAACGCTGACAGGAATGCTGGGCTGTGGGGAAAGAAGATTGAAGTCATGGACACTAGTGAGTAGGCTGAGCTGGGGGAGGCTGGCCACATGCTAGATGTTGGACCTACCCTCTCGGCCAAGCTGTGGTGGACAGACAGCTCTCCTCTGCTGGGAGGGCAACGATTAACTTGGGTCTTTCTGCCCTCTCTCCCAGGACACGCTTACCACACCGTGGAGCCTGTTTGTTGTGTTGAGCAAGCAGGGGGTGGAGACTAGAGTAGATGGGCATCTGGGCGGGGCTTAGCAGGTTTGGAGGGAACCTGGCTGCCCTCTGATTGCTGGCTTTTGTTTTTGCTGCTCAGCTGGGAGCTCAGCTCAGACTGAGAGGAGAGCTGGCTGGTTACTCCTCAGGGCAGTGAGTGAGTGAGTGAGTGAGTGAGTGTGTGTGTGTGTGTGTGTGTGTGTGTGTGTGTGGTGAGCACTGTGTGTACAGCCAGTCACAGCACCCTCTGCCCTCCCACAGCCACTCACAGGGTCTAGTCTTGTTGACATTTCCCCAGGTGTCCTGCATGCTTGTAGCAGTTGATCATACCCCTGCTATTGCTCAGAGTCAATAGCAGTCAGACTTCGTGACCAGAACCAGCCTGGGTCAGAAGAAAAGGCCAAGGTAGGGGGTGGCTCTGGGAAGGCCCAGGGAAGAGGTATGGCACATCCTTGAACAGCGAGGCGGTCCTCACTGTTTGGGGAGGGGTGTCATCCTTGGTAGTATTTTATCACCGGGTTATCTGTCCTCAGTACCTGGCCCCACTGCCCCAGGTAAGAAGGAGAAGCAGGACAGAAGAAAGGGGAGGGGGGATCCTTCAGGTTTGGCCTGGGTAGAAGCAGCACCCCGGAGACCTGCTTTGCGCCCTAACAGGGGAGATGGATCCGCCTCAGTGTGTGGAGGAGCTAGAGGATGATGTGTTCCAGCCAGACGACGGGGAGCCGGGGACGCAGCCTGGGAGCTTGCTCTCTGCTGACCTGTTTGCCCAGAGCCAGCTGGACTGCCCCCTCAGCCGTCTGCATCTCTTCCCTCTCACCCACTGCTGTGGCCCTGGGCTTCGACCCACCAGCCAGGAAGACAAGGCCACCCAGACCCTCAGTCCAGCCTCCCCGAGTCAGGGTGTCATGCTGCCTTGTGGGGTGACCCAAGAACCCCAGCGACTCTTTTATGGTGAGTGCTCTTAGCCTCAGGACTCCTCCCATAGAGACTGGGGGAAAAGAGGGGACTTCCCCTCCTCAGACCTGCACTTTGTTATTTCCTTCCCCAAATTAAACAGCAGGGGCTATGGATTCCTAGACTCTTGTCACTCTTCTTCTCTGCCTGTTATTGCTTTTCACTTGTGCTCCTTGGGCACCAAGAAAGGCAAGTTGCTATGCCATCACTTCTGCCTTTTTGTCCCTTTCTGCAGGGATCCTTGGGTCCATGGTGCCTTTTGGGGTTGGAGAGAGGGTACCTGGGCCTTGGGCTTTACATCCTGTGGCCCAATGAGTGGCCCAGGCTTTTGTGTCCTGGGAGTGATATGCCTTCCATTAATTGGCCGAAGTGGCCCTGGAGAAGGTTGGGGGATCTGTGACTCGCTGTTGACACTGAAGGGAAAAACCCAGCCCTTTCTGGAGGGAAGGTTCCTGAAGGCAGAAGGTGTCACTTGGGACTTTCTGTGCTTGGAAGGGGGAACTGGAGAAAGAGGTTGGGCCTGCCGGGGCTCAGTGCCAGCTGAGGGGCTGTTTCCAAGACTCAATCAGACAAGCCCCCTTCATTTGTGGGCTTAAATGGTTTGTTTTATGAGTAACATGCCCTCCTCTGGCAAAGGGACAGGGTTAGACACTCAGTCGGCTTTCTTCTTTTAGCACAATAGCTTATGGAGGGAGGGGGAAAAGGTTCGGAGGCTGTCTTGCTAGGTCTGAGGTTGCCTCTTGAGGAGCCGCTGCAGTTATTCCTGGAGGGAGCTGCCCGGTACTTCCTTGGGGAGTCCGAAAAGATGGATAAGGCCGGCCAGCAGGGAAGAGGGAACAGAGGGAGGAGGCAGGCGGGCACCCCTAGCGGCAGCCCGCTTGCCAGCACTTGGGTAGGGTGCAGCGCAGGTCTCGAGGTCTTGCGGTCTGGCCTGGGGCTCCTCCAGAGAGGAACTTGGCTATCCAGTGGGTCTAAGGAGTTTTCTCTCCCTCGTTTTCGTACCATTGCCCAGAGCTTCAGGACCTGGGCCCAGCCAGGGGAAAAAGTGAAGGCACATTTTGGTTTTCTCTTTCTCCCGCCTTGCTTTGCTCAACCCAGGAACTCCGGAGAGCTGCCTCCGGTGCTTTTCCAGAGAAGAGCTTCAACCTGCTACTGCATGAAAAATAAATTGTGGTCAAGCACAGCTTGGTAAATAAAGACCGAAGGCTGGCAAGTTCCCCCACACATACGACTTTTGCCCTGGCACTGGCTGTGAAGGGACAAGGCTAGGACCATTTGCTCCCTCTGAACATCAGCTTTTAGATGCTTGGGCAGCCAGGCTGTCCAAATCTGGCAGCGTGCCCGATAAAGGCCTCGGGCCCCAGGTGTCAGCCGGGAGTGTTAGGCATGGAGTGGATGGTGCAGTTGGGGAGAATGCTGAGATGTGGGCCCTCTGTCTTTGCAGGCAACGCTGGCTACCGGCTCCCTCTCCCGGCCAGTTTCCCTGCAGGCTTGCCCCTTGGGGGGCAGCCCCCTGAAGGGCAGTGGCAGCATCGAGCAGAGGTACAGATTGCCCGAAAGCTTCAGTGCATTGCAGACCAGTTCCATCGGCTTCACATGCAGCAAGTAGGCACGGGGGCTTGGGGTGGGGCGGGGGGAGAGTCTGCTGGGGCTGGGGGGCTCGGACCTGCCTCAGCAACTCTGTCTCTGCCAGGCCCCGAGGATATGGTCCCAGGGTTAACTGGATGGGCCCAACTGGCTGAGCACTCTTGCCATCTCTGAGCTCCAAGTTGGTTCTCTGCCCTCTCTCAGCTCAGGCTTCTTAAGAGCGGTTTGTCCAGTGGTTTGTCAGGAAATGCTACCATCTCTCCTGGGGAATGGGGTGGCTTTCTGCAGCCTTGTTTGACACACTGTGTCTGCTCAAGGCCAGGGTGGGAGACTGTACCTCCCAGACCCAAGGGGAAGGTTTTCAGGGTGCCGGAGTGAAACCGGACATTTGGGGGTGCCTGACTTGAGGGGCAGTGGGAACCGGGTAACCAAGGCCAAGGGATGGGCCTGAGTCGGGGAAAGTGGTGGAACCGGTTGTAACCTGACACTTTCCAGCTGGGGAGGCTGCTCCTCATTGTCTCTGTCTGGGAACCGGGACCTGGGACTCTGGAGAGTATACCTCAGAGAGTCTCTCCAGACTGGCGGCCGGGCGCTTGGCCGGCAGCCTGGCACCAGCCCCGCCGGGGCGGAGCATCGCGTGTCAGTCGAGCATGTGGCAGAGTCCATCAACAAAGGCGGCGGCGGCTGGCAGGCTCGTGCTGGAGGAGCCCTCCGTGCCACGGGCTGGAGGCTGCCCTGCTCTGCAGCCGCTGTCTGGGCCAGCCCCCAGGCACTTAACCCTTCCTCTCTGGGCTGGCTTTCTGGATGGCTGCCAAGGCAGGGAGAGGAGCCCAAGGCTGAATCCGTGCTCGTACAACCACCATGGAAGCAAAGGCATGCCACCTGGAAATGAACACGGTCCCTACCCCGGGGACCGTCCTAGCGGGCTGTGTGTGTGTGTGTCTGTGTCTGTGTCTGGAATAAAGAGAATAAATAACTCATCACAGTTGGGCAGACCCTGAGTTTAGATGGGTAACTTCAGGTGATCAGAGTAGGTTTGACTGAAGGGCCAAACCATTGCCAACACCAGGGGAGAGAGAAGTTGTCTTTTGGTCTCCTGAGAACAGACCATCAGGGGTTACATATGGTTAGTGCCTTCTGCCAAGGAGTTCTGAGAGAAATCTGGGGCCAGACCTGGTCCTGGATGGCTCTCCCAGTCCCTTAGTGATCTGGAAGAGAGGGGGGCCCTATGCTTAGGTAATAAGGCAGCCTAGCTTCCTCCGTTGGCCCCTCGCTCCAGTCCCTAGTCCCTCCTTTGATTGTTATCTGGAAACTTGGCTTCAAGTCTCCCCTTCATTCCATGTGTGGACTTGCTCTGATTCTGGATTTCCGTCTCTTGGCCTCCTTCCTGCCCATTCACTCTAGCCTGGTTTTACAGGCCTATGGCTGAGACCAGCTCACAGCTTCCAGTCCTGGTGCTGGAGTTTTTGGAGGGCACAGTGGCTGTGAGTCTCCTAGATTCATCTAGAGGACTGTCTGGAAGGCAGCTTTCTTCATTCCCAATTGACCTGATCTCTCTCAACAGTTGTTTCCCAGAATATTTCTCCATCCATTGGTGAGCCCCCGTAGGCTTGGGAGCAGGCTGGGAGGACAGGACTAGAACATAGCCCAGGGCCCTTTCTTGATGACTCAGTCCTGAACGAGAGGAGACAGCCCTCATCCCAAGGTCTGACCCTGCTCATTGCTGCTTGGCATCATTTCCCCCAGTCCAGGGCTGCCTTTTTGAGGATAGCTTTCGGCTATCAGCCAGAGCTACCCCAGCCTGGGAGGAGGGGCAAAGCAGCAGAACCAAAGGAGAACCATAGGAGAATCTCCCCTGCAGTGTTCTGCACCTCACCCCCTACTGGCTCCCAAGTCCCCTGTGTCCCTGTGTCCCTCACCCTCCTGCCTGCTGTCTACTCCTACCTCACAGTGGCGGGAGCCAGTCAGCTAAGCCTTTCTAGCCCAGAGCTGGTTTTCCCAAACTTTCCATTACAGAGAACCAGGCTTTTGGTCTGTGGAATCCTCTTGCTTTTAACCCTGTCCTCCCCACTAACCCTGCTCACAGACCTTGTCCAGGAGCTCATCCTGCAGGAAGGGCTAGGATAAGAGCCACGGGCAGAAGGAGCACCAGCATGCAGAGGAACTTTTAGCAGCTAGCTTTAAGAAGTGAGTCGTTTTCTGACTTTATTATATAAACCACAGTCTAATATTTCATATCTAGAAAGTACTGTTGTGACTCCTACATTCTTTTCTTTTCTTTCCCTATTCCCTTCCTTTGCAGGCAGGGACACTGAGGTACTAGGAAGGAAGCGGTTTAGGATTAAATCTCTAGGCTTTGAGTCCAAAGTCAGAAGGCCCAGGTTTAAATACCAGCTCTGCTACCCACTAGCCATCAGGAAGGCACTTGACCTTGTCAAGTCTAGCTCCTCCTCTGTAAATTAGAGCTAATACCACAGAATATTATTGTGAAGGTTAAGTGAGAAAATACCATTTAAAGTTCTGGGTACACAGTAGGTATTCTTTAATGCATGTTTCCTGTTGTCTGTCTAGAAGCCTGATCATCCCTCACATTTGTTCTTGTCAGTTCACCATTTCCCACCCCTCCCATCAGGCTGATCCCTTAGCAGAGTTGCCTCCCCTGAGCTCCCTCCACCTGCCCTGCACAGAGAAATCAATGTCCAAGCTGTTCACTTGTGGGCCTCGGCCTTGTACATTTCTCCTCAAAGAATGATGATCAGTCCCCCATCGATATAGGCCGAGTTTAGGGAGCCAGGAAACACAACCCAAGAGGCAATAAGTTGTTGAGAGGGCTTGGCCATTTCCTTTCTCCTCAGATCTGGGATGGTGTCCCAAGGCCAGACAATGGCCCTTGGTCCCTGAGTCCTGTAGGTAGTGTGAGCATTCACTTTTGGTCCCTAGTTAAGGACCTCAAGTAATTCTTTTTCTGTGTCAAGGGAACACTTCTTCCTAGGAGATGTGGAGCAGAGGGGGTGGGGGGTACCATGACGGGGTAGTGCGTTGTAGAATGGCATTATGGCCAATTGAGTGCATCAACATGACCCCCAATTCAAAAGGTTGCAAATTGTACTGGATGTTGGATCTGGATTTTTGCCGGCCACATACTTCCTAAGGAGCACGTGGGTGGGGTCTAGCCTGGTTACCCGAGTGATCAGTTCAGGGTGGCTCCTCTGGATGGAAAGGCAAGGATTTGAAGGCAGAATATCAGTGTCAGTGAGGTGCTTTTTGTTGGCTCTTTGGGTCTCCAAAGCAGCAAGAGAGTTGGAGGCCGGGCGTTTGGAGACAAAAGCCTTTCCCAACCTGGTCACACGCCCCACCTTCCTTTGACTGGGTCAGGAGTGGAATGGTCCCCCTTTTTTTTTTTTTTTAGATTTTATTTATTTATTTTAGAGAGAGAAAGAGTGGAGGGGCAGTGGAGGAGGGAGAGGGACAAACAGACTCTGCTATGGGCCCTGAGCCCAATACGGGGCCCAATCTCACGAACTGAGATCATGACCTGAGCTGAAATCAAGAGTTGGTGATCTGCTGACCAGGGTCTACCTTGACTCAGGCTCTGTGAAGGTACCCTGGTATTTCTCTGTCTCTCCAGCTTCTCCAGTGAAGAGGAGGTACAGGTTTGCTTCCTCACTGTGTTCATGAGCTGCTGGAGTCAGAAGGTGTGGGTTCTAGTTTCTCTCCATTCCCCCTTCCGCGGTCTCCTCCAGTATGGGCCTAAGAATGGACAGTAGTTGCTGTCCCCTCCTCTTAGGAATGTCTCCTATCCCAATGGCACCATCTTGAAATTTATGGGGGGGGGCGGTATTCCTAGGCAATGTTAAGAAGCCAAGAATCCTCAAAAAAAAAAAAAAGCCACTGTAGACCACTGAGTGAGTAAAGCTACAAGCACATTGGAATTCCTTGAGTTGGAAATGGCCTTTTCACTTGGACCAGGAGTGGCTTCATTCAGAATAGTCCGATTTGGAAATTCTCTGAATGGTAATTAGACTTTCTGGAAAATGAAATCTGAGGAAAATGTTAGCCACTCACTAGAAACTATCTTTTGTTGCAATATCACAGAAAGGATCCTAGACGTAAAGGCAGACCTGGGTTCAAATTTCTACCTCTGTCCCTTATGAGTTCTCTGTCTATAGGCATGTCATTTAACTTCCCTAAACCTCGATTTCTCATACTTACCTAGCAGAGCAGATGTGAAAGCCCAGTGGAGATTATAATATATATAACTATTAAGGTGTGGGCGGTTTAACACTTTGAGAAATGTGCCAGAAGATGATTTTAGGATTTTGCTTGGACCTGTCTTTATAGTTCTTAGGGAGCTCACTTGGAAGTTGTACCCAGAGTGGTGTTTACATCTGCCAACAGCCTGGATCCTTTGTTCAGGGGGCCCTTGACTGCTTCCTGACCCTTTGGGATGCCCTCCTTGTTGCTGAGTGGTTTGCGGGGCTCAGACTGTGGCTAATGAGGTTGTTCAGACCCTAGATGTGGCAGCCCTGGGCAGGAGCCCCAGACATTCACCTTAGAGTGAGAAGGTCCCTGTGGAGCCAGCCTCTGTTCCAGCAGTGGGAGGTCTACCTAGGAGGGTGCCTGGGGAAAAGTGAGGCTGGGGGAGGGGCCGTGGAGGGCCGCTGTGCGTGAGAGCCAGGCCGGGGCTTGGGGGCCCTGTGTTTGCTCTGTGGCTGGCTCTGTTTATATCGCTCACTATATTTAGCTTCTGAGTCATCAGCGTGGCTGACTAGAGGCCGAGTTCCCCACACAACTCTGCACCTGACTACTCTCTCTTCCAGGAGAAGGGCCTTGTAGTTCCGGAGAGTTCATTCCCTCCTCACCAAGCTATAGGCCTTGGGGATGGGAGTTGGCTTTTTTTTTTTTTTTTTTCCTTAGGGGAGAAGGGGGGTGATGGGAGGAGGGGTTGGGAGAGGCACAAGAAAAGAAGGATGAAGAAAAATGTCTGGTTTGCCTTTTGATCCTGTCTGACAACCAAGAGGGCATGTTCCATGACCAGAACGAGAACGGTCAGTGTGTGTGGTGAGGAGGAGGGTCCAGCCTTCTTCCACGCTTAACTTGCCTTGTCCTGGCTAGGGGACTGGCTCCAGGCAGGACAAGAACAGCCAGCTGCCAAGGCCCCAGTTTGGGAGTCAGAGCTTTGGGGGCTCCTTTTCCACGATCTCGTAGCCCCACAGCAGGTCTGCCGCCCCTCAATCCTCTCTCTCCCTCACCTTCCACCAGAGCACACACACCAGGATTTCTTCCTGAGTTCTTAAGAAGTTGTCCGGTAGTTCGATGGAGCAGTTCTCTGAGGGAGCCAGAGCCGTCCCTGTGGGAAGCTGGGTAAGGGCCCCAGGAGTGGCAGCCTCCAGAGGCTGTGGAGGTGCCACACGGGGCTCTGGGGATATGGGTTGTGCACACAGCCCTGTCCCCCAGCCCCCAGTGGCTGGAGCCAGTGGCCCACAGTTGCATTAGAGGAAACCCTCCTGTCTTCGACTGAGACCCGGCCTGCCCCGCGCTACCCTTTCTTCCCGGAAGAAGTGATTGGTGTCGCCATGATGGCAGCCGGTGGCTTCAACGTCCTATTGGCACGGCTGACTGCCCTGAGGAAGCTCTTGGCAAGGGGCTATTTTTTTCCTTCTCCATTTTGCCACGTTGCTCGTTCCTCTAGCATCTGGGTCAGAAGCCTTCTTAGGGCAGTGGGCCACTGGACTCAAGGGGCTGCCTTGTGGGTTTCAGAATCCCTTGCTCAGCTTGGCCGCCTGGAATTCTGAGCCCAGCTGCCTCTAGCTGTCTTGGCCCATCTCAGAGTGAAAAGTCAGGGATTTCCCCAGGACTTCATAAGTCTGTTTAGAAGATAGCACTCCTGGGGCAGGCGCTCTGAGGGAGAGGATGTTGAGGGAAGTGCTCAGCGAGCTTAAGTGGGGCGCAGGTTTCCTTGTCCTCAGCATGGGGAGTGAGCTGCTTGCTCGGCACAGTCACCAGGCCCATTGCTTTACATGGATGTTTCTCACTGGATCACCACAGCAACCTCGTACCTCTGGACCCCGTTAGCCCCATTTTGTAGGACACCGAGGCTCAGAGAAGGGAGACAGCATGCCCAAGTTACGCTGTAAGTGACTGCGCTGGGAGCCATACGGATCTGACTGATCCTAAAACTATGGTCTTCCCACTGTGCAATCTCTGCTTCCAGGCAGCCCCTGGAAGACAGGAGTGTGAGGGAGCGCCCACTCACTGCCCTGACCTCCCTCTGCCTCCCATAAAACTTACTTCTATGCTCTTGTTGTCTTCCGTTCAGATTGTAAAACAACTGAGGACAGTTGACATCTTGCTCATCTTTGTGTCCTTCATAAGTCTTAGCCGAGTTCGGGGCTTGATAGAAGCTTGCTGCATTGAACAAAAACATCTTCTCAACTTCTTTCAAGTGGAATTTTCCTGAAGTCTCTCTTATCTCGGTGTTCATGTTCTCGGTGCCGAGGCTCTCTCCCTCAGCCTCGGCCAGGGTGGGTTTAGACTATGA